AATATAAGCCCCACCCTGATTATAAGCCCCCCTCATTGTCTTTATAGCTTACAATGTTAATCAAAGTGTGTTATTAATACATGTTTATTTTCCTGTTTATGACTGACTTGTTTATTACTAACACAAAAGATTGTCCATGTATAAGCCCCCTTGTGTAAGCCCATCAAAAATTGTTTACGAAAGAATATAAGCCCAGGGCTTATAGTCGGAGGTTTACGGTAGATTGTCAAAAAACTGCAGAACTGATAAGATGGTGTCCATGGGATACAATACTTATGATAGAATCAGGGAAGTGAGGAAAACACATGCAGTACAGGAAAACAAGACTGTACCACTAGAAGCTCCCCAGGTCTATCCTTACAGATAAAAGAAATATCAGTATCACACCAGACACCAATAAACAATTTTGCATCTTCTGCCAAACATTTTGTTTGAATGTTTTTTTTAACCCATTGAGTGGTAGCACTCTCCCCCTGATGAGTAATAAGTCTAGTGTTAGTAAAATAATCTGGTGTTAGGCAGAGTAAAATAATAGACAACTGGTTGATCATTTGAGCATAGACCTGGTTGATCAGTATAAATCCTTGCAATGCATCACACAGTAGTGAATACATATATATATATATATATATATATATATATATATATATATAGTGTTGTGATAGTGCTGAATTTCCTCCATTTCATTCTCTACATTCACTGCCCCTCCTTCAGTTTCACCATCAACACTGCTACCACTGGGCACTTCTTCCATCATTTGGTGTGTATGAATGTCCATCAGGGCAAACAGGATTTATTGGTTAAATAAAACAATTACAATCAGTTGGCTGGTGTAATTCTATTGGTGGAAGTACACTGTCCAGCTCATCATCTTGACTATCTGGCTCACATGGTGGGATGTTGGTGATGTTGAAATATCAACCTCCTTCCTGTGGATCATTAGGGTCGAAGAACTACATGATATGAAATAAAAATACGTTTAATACGGCTGTATTACAACAATTTTAAGCGAAATATATCAATCACATCATAGATGACTGTATTTTATATAATTTATACAGTACGAGAGCATTTTTATATTTCTATTTTATATAAATCATCTTACCTTAAAAACACAACTAGAGTGAATTTGTACCAGTGCAGGATTACCGCAATCAGGGAACAATTTCATCAATTTGTATCCCGTTAACCACAGCTGGACAAAGGACTATTCTTCAAGCTATCTGTATTCCGTAAAACTATATAAACATGAACCTCACGTGCACGACATTTCAAGTTCATCACACGGTAATCCTTCTGGAATCAAGATTAAAGGCTGTTTTGACACACAGTGAACAAACAGAAGCTCGTGTCCACCCAAAAACGAAGCTTTCTTTCCACGAATAGTGCAAGAATTCACCATTTTACTTTTTTTTTTCTATAAATCTTTTCCGAATCGCTCGAATCCTCGAGGTGTAAACACAGCGAGAGCCGACCGAACAATGACGGCGCAGAGCGAGAAATCGATAATATGTAAAAAACCGCGCCTGACCGCGTTGCATGCCGGTATAGTCCCCACTCCTCCTCTGTTACAATTAATCACTGTCAACTTCAACAAATTTAGCTCTTTTGTTCATTTTTCTCATCAGTTCCTTGTTGGATGAACTACTTTTGTACTTGGATCTAGCTTCTTCTACAATACCTGAACATGCATCTGCATGTTCAGTGCTGAAAGTAAGAGCTTCTTCCAGAAGGCATTGCTGGCCTATGTAGAATGTATGTGGTTATTTGTATCAGGTAACTTAGTTTCTTGTTTCTGAAACTTTTAATTTGAATTTTTGACTTGAAATGGTTTAAACAAGTAATGTCACTTTCCTGGATCTCTTTGCCAGCAAAATTATTTTTGAGGCATTGTTTAACGAAACGGTTAGGTGGACGTTTGGGTAGGTAGTCTGGAACAATCTCATTGTACTTAAGCGCACGTTATCGCGTACCACGTAAGCGCAAGCTACATAGCACTTCGTAAGGTAGGTTTAATTAATTAATTAATTAGATTCGTTTATTCAAATAAAACACTTTGCAGTCGTAGACTGAATTATGTGAATATTTACAACAATTGAGTTTTATACATTATTACAACAATTTTAAATAATTAAAAATAAGAGGAAGTCACTTTATCACCTAGATTAATTGTTGTTAAAATTTATTTATTTGAGCTATGACTAATAATAAAAGATTTTTTAAAACGATCCGTCTTACTAACAGGTACATTGAACCTTCGTTCACTCCTTAAATCGTTATGATGATGTGCTTGCGGTGGAAGTAGGCCACTGAGCTTATGATCCGGTTTATTAACAATATCTTCCAAAAGATGACTTGATAGTTGGTCTCGTCTGTCGAAGAGAGTGGAAATGCCGGCGTCTTTTAGCGCGTCAGCATATTTCAAGTCTGGGAGGATGATACGCATAGCGCGCCTTTGGATACTCTCAAGTTCATTTGACAGATAGTTAGGGAGACTCCGATGAAACAACTGGCACGAATATTCCAGAAGTGATCTGATGGCACTACAGTAAAAAGTGATAAGATCTTTTGGACAGATCCCGGATTCCCGGCTCTTTTTAATTGTCTCTAAAGATACAGTCGTTTTGCGGCTTTTACGGTGACAATACCAATATGGTCGTTCCACTTAAAATCGTCCCGGATTGACACGCCAAGAATTTTGGCCACGCTAACTCTTTCTAACTGGAAATCATTGAGTTCGACTAAAGGGAATGATGGGGGGTTTCTCTTGAAAGATGATCGTACTTCTTTACACTTAGTTGGTTTCAATTGTAATCGATTTTCTTGAGACCATGCATCGATATAGTCAACAGCTTGCTGAAGAGAGCTTTGCTTGAAGGGTGGTATCACTTCAGAGATTGTGCAATCATCGGCGAATTTCCACATAGGTAAGGATTCCTGAGGTAGCTTAAGATCATTGATTAGTACTAAAAACAACCAGGGACCAAGACGAGTTCATTGAGGCACTCCTGCTGGGACGTCAAGCCAATCGGAAACGATGTTATTTAGTTTAGCCCTCTGCTTTCTGTGTCTTAGGAAATCAATTATCCAATTGACGGCCGTGGGTTTTACGCCTATACTAAACAGTTTGGCGACCAAAATATTATGGTCCACCAAGTCAAAAGCTCTGCGGAAATCTAAAAGTATGGTTCTTACGGTGGATGCGGTGCCGTCAGTAGCTTGTAACCAATGATGGAACATAGAGATTAGTGCTAGAGTAGTTGACGATCCTGGGATGAACCCAAATATGCCTGGGTCGATAATAGGTAGTAGAACAGGTTTCAACGCAATGTCTATGATGAAGCTCTCAGCAACTTTTGAGAGGGTTGGTGTTAGAGAGATTGGTCTTAAATCCTCATTGATGATGCAGATAGAAGATGCCTTAGACAGAGGACAGACATTGGCAAGTTTCCATGCGTCAGGAACATTACATTCCAAGAACGAAGTATTTGGGATATCAGCAATTGGGGCCGCTAGAATATACGCAAAATTTTTAAGTACCCAGTTAGGGAGGTTGTCGGGACCACTGGAACGAGAAGCATTTAGCTCTAAAAGCTTTCTTGCGACAGAGTGTTCAGTGACAGATATCGGTCGATCATCATCCATTTCTACACTTATACAGTCTGACAGGGGTAAATAATCATTCATTATGTTGACAAACGCCGAATTGATGTTTTCAGCCAGAGATTCCTTATCATAGACACTAAAGCCTATATAATAACTAGTACAAATGTCCTTCTTTCAAAACCTAATTAATTTCCACACCATTGACCCAATAAGAACCTATGTCCTGAAGGTATATTACCTCTTACCTACCTCATCAACAGGTGTACCGTATGCGTGGGGTCTTACGTCACCACACCGAAAAGTGACTAACAGTTGCTGTGACAGAGTCACATACAGTGTAACTGGAGAATAAGTAAGATGAAGACCACAACAAATTCAAAAAAATTAATTAGCCGTGCTAGTTATTCTCAGGGATAATGCAGGTCGATACAGTATGATCTCGTCCTTAAGGCTTACGTACAGTACTTACTTACAGTAGATCTCGTCCTTAAGGTTAATTTACATAAACTTTAGCTTTGATTTTCTCGGTTTAGACAAAGTTTATTTTAAAAATTACTTCGCCAATGAACTCATATAAGATGAGTCGTTTTATAAGCCATTTAAAGCACTTGTATAGTCGTGTTTCATCAGATATAAAACGCTCGGCTGCGCCTCGCGTTTTATATCAGATAAAACACTCCAGTACGCGTGCTTTAAATAGTACATTAAAATTTTTTTAAAAAGAGCAAAAAGAAATATAGATATACTGTTCTACCTGATTGCCGTGTGGGAGTCAGAACGATTATTTATTAAGAAGGCTTCTAAACCTGTCTTGAAAGCAGCGATCGAGAGAGGTTATTGATCTGAGAGATTCAGCTGGCAGGCCATTCCATAAAGAGGCTCCACTGTAACTATAGAGGGGCATTTCAAATAATCGGTGCGTGGTTTTGGGACAGTTCAGAGGCGCTGGAATATCGATAATTGGGGGGGGGCCAGATATTCATATATTCGTGTTCACAGACTGTAAAAACAATCGATTTCAAAAGAAATTAATAGCGTTGTCCGCAGTAGCTAAAAATAGATTCTCCAAGTGAAGACCCCCCACGAGACTCAGACAAACAAACTAACATTTTGTATAGAATTGTACTAGCAGCGAACATAAATTGGTCTAAATTGACGTTTTTATTTATTTTATCTGTGCTAAAACGAATTCAAATTTATCCCAAATTACAAACATGGTTAATGCTAAGCACTGTTGCTGGGGAACATGTCCAAGTGATTCGAGATACTAAGAAAAACTGCCGAAACAGGGAATTGAAAAGTCGGACGGGACGGGAATGTCTGCAGTAGCAATGTGTTGATTGTTATTGACTGCGGACTGTGCTGGTTTTTCTCCAAGAACTTTCGCAGCTAACCATTTTCCCCCGTCAATACATCCAGCGAACGATGCTCTCCCGAACTATTAAAAGCAATCGCTAACTCGCTGAAGAAGAACTTGGCGTTTTATACCGCTTTGCTATAAGCCGGCCTCTACATTTTAACTTCTTCTTGAGTTTAATCGACAGTATAAGCAGATGGATCATGCTCAAAATATGAGTCCGGGACGCCATCGTTTTCAGTGAGAGCGTCTGTTGTTAAATTTATGACTGAGAGAAGCAATAGTTTACCAGACAGTGTTAGGCTATTTAATAATTAACACAGTGTTAAAGGGCGGTTCTCTATTTTACAAAACTGAATATTTAAAAATATATAAATAAAAATGTTGTTTTTATAATAATATATTTTTGTTGTATTGTCAAAACAAAATAGTTTTACTGGTCAACGGAAGATTTTATATTTGAGATTTTATATAGTTTGTAGTTTATCTTTGACATTTTTTAAAAAAGTTTAAATTTGAAAGTATTAGTTTTAATTACATTCCCAATAAATCCGTATTTTATAAGTTGAATATGTGGTCAATAGATTATAGTAAACAATCCTAGCTTCTTTGGCTTTGGACTTTGCTATTAATAAAAGAGATGTCTAAAGTAATAAAATAATGCACACTAAAGCGAGTATTAAAATATAAGTTAGTATAAACATGAAATCAACAGCATTAAATAGGGAACTTTAGAACTGATTCGCTAGGGCTACGAATTAAATCTGGTACGACTACGAGATTTTTTCGGTTAAATATCTGCTACTACAGACTTTCTATCGCCCTTTCTTTTGCATACCCTTTCTTTATGGCCTCTTTATAGCAACAGTTACGCCAAACCATGTACTATTATAATACAGTAGACACCGCCTATGATAGAAACGACATGACAGTCGATACTAAAGTGACGAAAAACTGTATATTTCTACTTCCAAAGCAAAAATATTTTGCACTGGCACTTCAGGTAAAGCGAAAAGTACAAGGTGTGTATGATTTCGCACAAATAAACCGTAAACAAACATCAAACTATTAAACTAAATCACGGGAAGCTCTTAATCATAATACTATTTATATTAAATGCCGGCCAATGTTTGTCTGAGTCTTCGCGGGGGGTCGAATTTTCGTGACGTCAATTGCGGACAACGCTATTTTGTTGTCTTTCTCGGGAAGAATAACTCGTACGACTTGCACATCTTTGAACCAATAACCAAGTTTAGAAAAAATATCTCGAAAACATTTTAAAAATCGATTCAAATATCGAGAAAATACTACAAAACCCGAGCAAAATTGCAAAA